TTGTTTATATGTATAGGGTGTCCCATGCAAGTGTTGCCACGAAATTTCAGGATTTTCCTTGAATTTTACAAAAAATTGTGTTAAACAAGAGTTGAACTATATTTAAATGGGCACCTCTTTCGTAAATCAGTTTCCTTATCTGCATTTCTTCGAGGATATGGATATTACCTTTCGTTTTCTAAATATTTTTTATTATAACAAATCATGAAAAATCCAACGATTACAAATATATTACCAATAAAGACCCAAATAGCGTATATAAAGTTAATAGAATTTATGCTAGTGCGAGGTACGTTTGTACTTTTCAATCTTCGATTCTTATAGAAGCGACCTCCTTGTACGCACCACGACGATCCACAAATTCTGCTAACGTTTTTAACGTTATTTATGTTTTTTTGTGATACATTTATAGTCATCGAATTTGTCACGATTCGTTCTAATGAAAAATATTTTAAGACTGCTACAGTTTCACTTAAAAAAATAAAATGGATCATCTATTTCCCCCCCAAAAAACACAGCTAAAGGAATTCTAATTTACAGAAGTTATGTACACTTAAATATAGTGTAACTTTTGTTTAACACAATTTTTGTTAAGTTCAAGAAGTCCTGAAATTTCGTGACGACACTTACGCGGGACACCCTGTATATGATACATATTTCTTTTATACATATTTAATTATTGTACACGCGCAACGTTTGCATTAAATATTGAATTTTTCAAATAATTTCTTATGAAATTTGCAATACCTTTGAGAGTTGTAGTTCCTGTACGCATGAAATAAATGTTTTAACTACCGTTGTATTACTGTAAATTGTTATTCCAATATTTCTGTTTAAAAATAATGTATTCTTGGTTATAGAATTATGTTACAATTTGGTATATGAAATAAATGAAAATGGATTTACAAAATAGCCGCTAGAGGTTATGTATATATTGAATATTACATTTATTATTTATGCCTGTTTGTTAACTCGGTTCTCAATAATAGGTGTCTGAAATTTTTAACTGTAAATAGACTGGAATAAAAGAATGGTAAAATCAGCTTCTGTGTTGGTCAGTTGGATTGAGATCCGAGAGTCAAGAATAGCGTGAAATGGCTTTATTCGTTTATTGGATCGACGAAAGTCCCAGAGTCTTGTGGGAGTAACAGAGGGGATCTGGGTTACGAAGGGTCCATGACACCTTAAAAATTCATTATGAAATAGCTCACACAAATCTGCACTTACTACGAAGACACGACCGATCAAATAGAAGTATAGTTGATCGTTAAAGTACTCTCAATTGCCTTTGAATTCCGAATGTGCATGCAATTGTCATTCATTATTAATGGCATATCGATATAATATTTATATCATTAAAAGTAAAAGTCTTGAGTGTCAGCTATTACTGTTTGTAAAATATGCGACAAAAACATAACGTGAACGAAAATTACAATTAAAGTAGTCTCTGGTTAAATAAAGTCGAAATTAAGTAAGTATGTATTGTGGTTTCAATATTATGAACATACAAAAAGTTAATGAAGGGATACATGTATATTTTCAGAATATGTAGCAATAAGCGTAGTAATTAGTATTTGATAGTAATTGTAGTTTTTAATATATCTTAAAAGACACTTAGAGGTAACAGGAGACCACTCGGAATAGGTATATAAATAGTGAAATATGTGTTTGGATTGGAGGTTGAACAAAAAAACGAATAGTAATATGTATTGGTATTTATCTACATGGATTATTTTCTCAAATACTATATTACTTTAAAACAAATATGCTCACAGGTTAAAACAATGATTTCGTACATGAAAGTGACGTAAGTAAACTGAATCTAGTTAAAATTGTCTACCAATAAATTAATTAAAGCAACAGTTATTAAATTCAAGTTACATATTGACTTCAGCTTTGTTATGATAATTTTAAAAAATTAGAAATACATCCAGACTTTATGAGTCCTGATCCTTATTTTGATTATTTCCATTAATCGTTACACATTTGTGATGTAATTGGAAAGTATGATGATAATCGTAATAGAAAGATATCTTTATATGGGTGTATTTCTTTGTTTATATTAGTTACGTAAAAATGATGTGTTGTTTAAAGTATTGTGCAAAAAGTGTAATGCAAGTATCAAAATAAATTTGTTTGCTACCGTTTGATTGCGAATATCAGTTGATCGAGTGGCGCCAAGGAAGTCACGAGGAATAATATTTAATATGTATGAAACATAATGTTTGTTACTTAACCCCTTGCCCTATAACATCGAGTCAAACTCGTGTTGACGATAAGAAAATTGATTCAACAAAGAAGAATATTATTCGGTTTTCTTTGAGTCGAAGTAAAGTAGCACGTTGCTGGTATTAATATTTAACCTTCACAGTAAAAGTACAGTTGCGGTAAGTGCAGAATTCCTGTTGTTTCTACTAGGAAACTATCGATAACAATGTAATTCGGGAGACTGCAGACGTCAAGAAAATCATAGGGCAAGGGGTTAATATAATTTTATTTTGTTTTATGTTGGTGCTATGGTAATATCGCGGGACAACATTCTTTCTCAAGAAGAATATAATATAAAATAGTATTAAATGCTCAGGGTATAATACAATAACATATGATCTGTTGCATTCGCGTTCACAATTGGGCAATTCGTCAAGAACTCACGCTCGTTTCAATTTCAGTCTATTGAAAATGAATGTGAAACTTTTTCGAGAACTGAATTTTTTAAATTATTAAAAGGAGTTACCTCAATTCTACATTTGTAAAATATTGTAATTATAATTAACATGTTGTGAAAAAAATCTTTCGGTCTAAAAAATTAGTGTACAATTCATAATTCTTCAGGTAATAATCACTGTATATGGCTGCTTTCGTGAAAATCCAAAAATATCGATACAAAATGGTTACTTAACGACCTAGTAACCTTATTTGAAGGAATGCTTTTGTTATTGTTTCGAATAATATATTAGATATACAAGGCTAACAAACGTGTATTTAACTTCAAAATTGCAGGACATCCAAATGTTGTTTTAATATTAAAATAAGTATTTTTCCATTTATTTCATGTGCTACGAAAACTGTTAATTAATACATATTAAAAAAGGTGACACTATAAAAATGTATAGATTCAGAAGCGTCGTGAGAATCTAAATTACGTCAACGAACACACAAGCCTTAATGCTAATATTACCAAAAATATTATTGGAACATTGCGTTAGCTTAATAAAATTTATTTAAATTTTTAGACGCATTTTCAGTCATGACTTTCTTTACAAATCTACACTAGAAGCTGTATTCATTACGAAATCTTTTAATGTTTAATCTTAGAGAGTATTAAATCTAGAAATTGTTGTATTCGATATTAATCAAGTCCGAATAATGTGTCAAAGTAGTGAACAAATGGACGAAGAACTTCTACTACAAGAAGCCGTTCTTCGATTCATATCGAAATAACTGAAACCGTCAGGCACCAGGTAAAAATTTTCTAGAATAGTTACAATTCACGATATATCGCGCAGATAAATGACGAACGGCGTGCTAGTAGCAGCAGCTGTCTTGGTGTTAAACCGAAGGACGATTGGGCCGGACCAGTTTACGACGTAGCTACTAATCCAACAGCAGTAGCGGTGACAGACGAACGAGAGATTTCGCGGTGGTCGAACAAAAGCACGATGTGGGAGAGGAAAAGTAGGTAGAAGACACGAAGCACCTTCGACGAGACAAGGTTGCACGAGGCAAGTTCAGTACTTACGGGGCTAGCTCGACGATTGCTAGGAAGGGTGTGTGTAACAGTGGTGGGAGTCGAAGGAAAAAAAGAGAATCAAACGGTGTAGGGGGAGCAAAAAGGATAGGTCGAACAAGAGGTTGGGTGGGGAGGGTTGAATGCAGGTAGGATGGACAAACGGGTGGTCGCGGTTAGCGACACCCATGCCAAGCACGAAGCAAGGGCAAAGATGGCCGACACGGATCAGATTAGGGGCGCACGCGTAGCTGCATTAGACTCCGCCTATGCACGATACTACCCCTCCGTTCCGGTTGTTCCCGACTTACCCCGGGACGAACAACCCCCTCTCGCAATGAGCACGCGCCGTTCCGCGAATCTCCTGGTTAGCCATCACCCCCTTGCCCCATCGTTTCCCTCTGCTTCATTTACTACTCCCGCCATCCCCCGTGGAAGAGTTCATCCGCGGAGCACTCTTCGGCGGCCAGTCAGCGCCAAAAAGTGCAGAGCATCAGGACCACATCCGCGCACGGTTCTACGCGGTTAATTAAAACGATTGATAACTTTTTCGAATCCTTTCTACCGTTGTGTATACACTCGTCAGGTGATCGACCTTGATGCACGAATCTGATCGATTATCGTTCATCTGCTTGTGACGCTACTGTTCATCAATTACGTCAGTGGACTTCCTTGGGATCAGCTGCTCTTCAATAGGAAATTATTTATTCATACCATAGGAGGAACAACGTGTTACCCACACCCCCAGCGGCCCCCTCCCTTCCCCCTCCCCTCATCCGTCTGTATTTCTTTTTGTGAAGTGTGAAGAGATCACTGGATTCACAGTCCGAGCCGATCGGAATGTTCGATCGCTATCACTGCAATGGTTAGGGCATAGGACGCAGGAAAAAACTGGTGCGAATCGAACAGTTTGTGTGCCGCGGTTACGTGCAACATGCGAGATCCACGGTCTATACGGTCGATCGTAATAGAACCGGCAGACTGATCGGTCCCGCGCGCCCGAGGATGATAAGGATGACTGTTGCCTCGTAAAACGAGAGTGTAAATGTACCCCTAACCGCGTGTATTCAACCCGTCACCTGTGATTCGTACACGATTGGTGCGCCGTCATCCGGTTTCGACGAGCGATCTGGTGGAAGTGAAGGTTAAAGTACATTCGTAGGGTGCGAGGGGACATATTGAGACATTCTTGTCACACAGATGCGAACCGCGAATACCGTGGCGAAGAAGAAGCGCAGCTGTCGCTGCTAGTATCGTTTCGGTCCGAGGGTGCTGGTTTTTCGTACTGGTTTAGGTCTAAGCCTGTGAGCTTAGACTTAGCTGGGCTGCAGGATGATGTACTCACCGGACAAGATGATGGGGAGCAAGGGACTCCACGGGGCACCGATCACTGCCCCGGGCTGCTTCCCTTCGGGAAGGTATTCGCCGCCGCCTTATCGCGCCGCCCCGGATCCTATGCCGCCACCGCCGCGACGCTGTATGCCGAACCCAACGGTGAGCGATCACCATTTCATCCTACCTTTTACTTTCGCTAGTTTCATTCGATTATACGGATGACGACGATTTCTTTTGTGACCTACGCTGATCATGATTTAACGTCCATTCTTCGATGAATGTCTGCGGATTGCTGTACGTTATTCAAATAACGCTAACCTCGGGGAAGGAGTTCAGTTGCTTAGTGTACTTGTTTGCATAGTTCCATTTTGGATCGTGGTCCCTAATTAACCTTTGTGCACTGTTCAATAGACTAGTGCATTACTATTCCTCGAATAAATAGGGCTTGAATTAAAATCGAATTAAGGAAATATATTTGCCTATCGCTAGATTGTAATATACAGTTTCTCATGAAAGTTTTCGTACACCCCATAAAAAGATCATTTCGATTGATACAAACAATAACTCTGTGTAATATCGTGTTTATTTATTAACATATGAGGTAATATTAACTATTTTATCAAAAAATGTATTAGTCTATACGAATATTTTGACGAATAAGAAGAAAACGAGTTATGCATCTCACAAAAGTGACCTTCTTTAAGAGGTGTACGAAGACTTTCGTGAGTGACTGTATGTAAGTTCGTGGTGTCAAAATAATTTAAAAGATCATAAATAACAGGTATAATTAACGCTCAAACTAATATTAACTAGACAGAATTTTTAGTCAAGATCCACGCCTTAATATGTTTTGTGTAGAAAACTTTTATGTGGACGGATCTTTATTATTATTACACTTTTATTGTAGACTTAAAAACGTTGAGTTCTATAAGAACAGCTGAAAGTACAAATTGAAGTTTAAATTCGGTAAAGAATATGCACAATGACAGTAACAAAAATTCATTTGTAAAATGAGGTTCTCAAAATTGCAATTTGCATAATTTCAATTTTAGTATTCATTCCCATTACAGGGACATGAAGTGTTATGGGATACTTCAAAAATGTAACTCGAGAAACTTTATTTATACAAAATTTAACGATATTTGTCAAATGCCAATTATTTTGCATCACACTCAACAATAATTTAAATTATAACAATTGAACGATTTTTGAAATACGAACATCTCTTGAATTTATAATATTTGTCTAAAATATTTTTATGATAATTGGTTCCTCCATCCAATACAGAGTCGAGGTGCTATAAATATCTAAGTGTAATTTAAATAAATATTTTTTATTTCTTACTTTAATTATGCTGTCTCTTATAATGTCTGATTTAATTCTATCTTTACATACCCTTAATACCTAAATAAATAGCGTGAAAGTGATTTACAATGATATAATCTAAATTTTATTAAATCAACAAACATATCGGAATTACATAAATTGCTCGAAAAGTTTTTAAAAACTGTAAGACATGCCAAGAGATTACGATTAAGGTGTACGGGAAACAATACATTATACATGAACAGATTGGTGGAACGAAGAAGTACTCCTGATATGTTTGGAATATAAGGTGACGATAAAAAAGACATTGGAAGTTCGTACCATCCATTTTCATTCGGCGCAGTTTCCCTTGTCACATGTATCACACATTTCGTGTATCCGTCGTTTATCTTACCGACGCTTACCATACCTTTCGCTGATGCTTACCGTTCTACCTTCTTTCTTACAATTTCCTTTGGGGACTGCTACAGGAAATTGTTTTCCAATATAGTATTTCTCTTTGATATTAAAAACATTATCTATTGACGTGCATTCATTATATTGACTTTTTCACTCCACTCTTACACATTTTATAGGACAGTAATACGTAACCATTTGGTTATACATATTACAGTTATAGCAAACAGAAAATATAAACTGTGTTCTTAGCAATTCTTAAATTAAAATTAAATGCAGCAGAAATGAAAGTATATTGAATAAAGTAATAGTAAAATATGTATTGTTTCTATGCAAAAATTTTAAAGGGTTTTCCTCTAAATGAGTAGAATAATAATAACTTCAATTATAATTGAATAACAATTTAATGAAATACATAATGATTCTTTTATAACATGTATTTTCAATAGATTTTAACACATTTTCTTATTATTCCAATAAATTATTTAATACTCCATGAACAAAATTTGTAGATTATTACTATTTATTGAATTTTTATAATTAAATTTTATTGATAAATTTTCATTGTACCACAGAGTGGGATTCACATAATAACTTCTCCTAACATATCGCAAGTGTTTTTTACGATCATTGTAACGTTTATTCTTTCCATTTTTAAATATTTTTTGAAAGTTTAATTTTAAGTTTATTTCAAATAATAAAACACATTCAGTCGCGTCAATTTTCGTTGGAAACAATCATTCACCGTGTTACATTAATATCGACTCATAATATATTAACATAATTGTTCATTGTTTCCACAAAAGCATGGCGATCATATCATCTGCAGAAAAGCCATCGAGACTTTTGCACTGATTCAATAATATGTATCATTTTATTTAATAACTTTTTAAGAAGTGTAACAACTCATGAATTTGAACTGTATTAAGAATCTGTGCATCTATTCATGTAATATTAATCTTTATAGTCGAAAAGTCTAAGTATAGAAATAAATTAGTTACTCATGTTTTATAAGTATGTATCGACAATCATTTATGTATGTTACTGACTATTATTACATTTTTAAATGTGCAGCACTTATGATAACAGAAAATGACTAATTAATGTGTTTTGAATTATTGAAACAATATTTCAATACAGGTATTCTTGCGAAGAAAATTATTACTGAGTGATCTAAATTTTGAAGTACAGAACAGTGATTTTCTAAAGAAACATCTTATACTGCGAAAATAAATACGAGGCCATAAATTGTTAATGTATATAGTGTTTAAAAATGAATCATGGTAACAAGTGAATGTACAGTAGCCATTATAAAGCATAGAGTTTGCAAAAAAGTTCTTATCAAATTGTATTAAGCTTTAATAGTTCCATTCAGTTGTCGCAGTTTTACGTGAACCTGAGAAATAGAAACTTGAAAAACTGGGAGACCATAAGACCATACACCAGAAAATTAAAACTCCCTTATACAGTGGGTAATCAAATTATCAGTGTCATCTGCATAAGCTCACGTTTTTTACGATTTTAACTGTATTTTTTAGAAGTAGATAATTCAAGTTTAATTTTTTTACGTATTTTTAGTGGATAAAAATTTTTAGTTGATTAAAAATTATCCAGTGCAAAAACCTTGATATTGTGATTTTATTTCGACACAAAGATAAAAAAACATATTTTTCGTATTATGGCTCTAATAGTCTGATCACCCGCAGTACCTATGTACACTGCTCAAAACAATTAGGGAATCATATATCGCAGTCACTCTTCTCACCAATACGACGTGTAATTTCCTTAAAAGTTTTTAATACAAATCTAACTAGATGTTAATAGTATTAGCATTGTATCGAAAAGATATTAATTTAGTAAACCTATAACACTTGTTTGGTTCTTTCATTTGGTGGGTGCAACAGAATCTCCACATTAGCTGTCTCTTATTCTTTTCAGCAGTGTGCTTAAACTTCTTCCTGAAGTTATCATCTGTGTTATTATCACAAAGAATATTTGAATGAGTTTCAACAGTTCAAGTCTATCACATAAAATCGTAGCAGCACAGATAGTACTAATAGGTAGAACACTTATTTTGCTTCCTTTGCTTACAGTGGATGCAACAAGAAGTCTCACATCAAAAATCCCCGAATTCTTTTGAGGACTGTGTTTATATTTCTCTTAAAGTAATCATCTTTATTATTGCAGAGAATATTTTCACGAGTTTGAATAGTGAAGTTGATCGCACACTATCCTAGTAGCGCAAATAGTACAAATAAAACATTTGTTTTGTTTCTTTCGCTTAGTGGGTACACCAAGACCACTCACCTCACAATCCTCTATTTCCTTTGAGAAGTGTACCTATTCTTCTCTCCAAAGTCATAATCTTTAATATTGCAAAAAATATTTTGCCAAGTTTACAAAGTGAAGTGCGTCGCATAAAATCCTGCTACCGTAGATAGTACAGATACAACAGCTCATGTCATGTAAAGCGACATTTGAGAAACGGTTCTACCATCAAGGTAAAAACGCACACCGTCGTAGCGGTTCGGTCATCCGTGTCGTCGCCGATACTCGTTTCACGACGTAAACGGGAAAGTACATCCGAAGTAGGAAACATCTAAACAGAATCAATCGGGGCTCAGTCTCACTGTAGGTAGTCCTACATCCTCTGTCCTGACAGGTCTTGCACTCTCCACGACGTATCCATTCGTAGCAGGAATCCCTCTGCAGACTGGTGACTGGTGGTCCCGCGTCCCTTCGCGAAGCTTGAAACCATGGCACACGTCGAACGGACCTGTCCCACCACCATCCCCCACCCCCCTACCTGCCCAATGCCGCGATCTCTTTCCTCCGCTATGTCGCGGACTCCACGGTCTTTAGTTTATTCATGTGACGTAATAGGATAAAAACCGTCGCTACGAGCTGAGTGCCTAGATGAGATTACAGCCGTACTGTTACGCCCGGTAACGCGAATCCGACGCAATCGTTTCCTCCTGCGATTTTTCGGCTACCTCTCTCTGCCATCATCCTGGCAACGGGCCTAGCGATTTTTTTCTTCTCGCTCCCTTGTTACGATCCGGATCCTGATGACAGGTTTAATGGAGACTTGCCTCGTAGAATCCTTACAAGTATCTGCATTCTTTGGGAATGAAGGCAATTTCGTGTTAGAACTACATACAGTTAATTAATTGATAAATGTCTCATTTAAATTGAGACCGTTTCTTCAATGATCAGTGACGTTTTTAATGACACTTACCTACGTGAAATATGGGGTTTCTGGATTTAACGAACTTTCATTACTTCTTGATTTGAAAATGATCTATTCTTCCAAAGGATGACGAAAACGTTGGTCATTGCGGAGATGCAGTAATTTTTGTAAATGAGATAACATTTTCTATTTTCGGTTTTCCGGATTGTTTAGTGACAGTTATATGGACACATACTATTGACAGCGG